CAAGGATTCTGAGGCTCCGTCTAACATACTTTGGACATGTTGTAAAGAGGGACCAGTCCTTGGAGAGGGACATCATGCTTGATAGGGTGGAGGGACAGCGCAGGAGAGGAAGGCCCTCCATGAGGTGGATTGATTCAGTGACTGGGGTAATCGGGATGGGAGTGTCAGAGACAGTGCAATTGGCACAGGACAGAGCAGTTTAAGGTTGTTGTGCATAGGGTGGCTATGAGTCACAAGCGACTCGACAACACATAACAACAACAACAACTCCTGGACTTCACTGGCAATAAACCAACCGTTTTTCTCTTTAGAAAAGAAAAAAATGAAACGCATCAATTCCAGCTCATGGTGATCCTACATACTCCTGAGTAAACCTGCTGTATAGGGTTTCCTCCACTGGAATCCTTTAAGGCCTCTCACTAGGCCTTCCCTCCACAGAGCAGCTGGTGGGCTGGAGTCATGGAACTTAGGGTTAAGTAGTCCAGTGCAGACCATTTGTCTTGCCCAGAGACCTTGCCTGGATCCTTGTTATTGTTGGGAGCCATTGAGTCAATTCCGACTCGTAGCCACCCTACAGGCCAGAGTTCACTGCAATGCTCCCAAGAGCAGACTGCCAGCTCTTTTTTCTCAGGAACCATTGGTGGTCAACTTATGGATTAGTAGGCAAGTACTTAACCATTGTGCCACCAGTGCCACTTAGATGTCCCATGTTACTGTTGTGTGCCACTGATTTGGAATTAACCCGTAGCTGACCCTCCAGTGGATTTTCAGAGACAGTAAGTCACCCGGGAGGAGATCACCCGTCTTTCCTTCGTGGAGCAGCTGGTGGATTCGAATTGCATGCCTTTGGGACTACAGCACAGCTTCTTACCAGCAGGCCACCCGAGCTCCCTGGACCTCTCCTAGACAATTGATTATATATTTTGTAGAGGTGGAAGCTTGTAGAACATATAGATTAGATGTTTCTCCCTACTCTTCTTTCTTTTCTTTTTGAGCTGCCTTTGGGGGCTCCTAATAGCACAAATGGCTTATTATTTAACTGAAAGGTTAGCAATTCAAATCCGCACAAGGGATGAGGCCACATTCACCCCCACCACCCCATTTCATGTAGTTGTACTCAGTTTTACCAGTGCGGCCTGGGCAGGGTTAAGGTCAGGGCTGGCTTTGGCTTCTCGGTGAGGGATTGATCTGACCCTTAGACAATAAACCTGCAGCAGTTTAGGGTGGCGAGGGAGGGTGCCCATGCTCTGGGCAGCAATGAGGGCCTGTTGTGTCATAACCAATCCCCTCCTAGTCTGCCAACTCTTGTACCTGGTGTTCAGCGCTGGGTACTGAGCAAGCCCAGCGTACTGGGGTATCTGCACCTCAGTGCAGTGGTAAGGCCCTACATCATCTCCAGTTTAACAAAGAGAAACTGAGGCAATGGTGCAGTGACTGCCCAGGTGAACGCTGGCACTAATTTGGGGGCCAGGCTGAAGGACACCGAGACCAAAGGGCCTTGATTTCAAGACCCCCAAAGGTCCGGGTCTCTGAGGGCCAGTCAGTCCTGGCTGCTGAGTGTGTCCCCTACTGCCCTACTGCCGCTGAGGCCTAGCTGCAAGGACCTGGCTGCTTCAGCCCTGCTTTGCCTCCCTTGCCCTCCCACTCCAAGGGCATACTTCTCAGTGAAATGGAGGAGCTAAGACCTGGCCCCTTCACTCTCTGGTGGTTCAGCCTCCACTGCTGCTGCTCTGCCTTGGTGCTCCTGGTGAGAATGTATTGTTGCTGCTATTGTAAGTTTCCATTGAGTTGATTCCAACTCTTAGCACCCTCATGTGACTCAGGGTAGAACTGACACACTGTAATCAGAGTTTACAGTGGGGAAGTAGAGACCCAGTAGCAATGGGACTATTGACCACGGAGGAAGTATGAACTATTTGTGGATCTTTACTCTGAACTAGGGGGATGGCCTGCTAGCCCACATGAGTGGTTAGGATGTAAAGTGAGAGGCATCTCCTTGCTCCCTGCACCCCCCAACATCACCACCACCACCCCACCCCACCACCACCTTCTACTTGACACTGTCAAGTAGACACTGTTTCTTCAGAAGCAGGTGCTGGGCTGAGGTGGACAGACTGTGCACTCAGAGCAGATGCCTGAGTGTGGGGCCCCAGACGACAGTGTCTTCTGGGCAGGAGGCAGCCCTTTAGGTCAGCAGAAGGGCTGGGGGTCCTAAATTGTGACACAAGGACAATCCAGCAAGGAAACTTTGGAGGGCATGAAGGGAGAGCAGAGGCTGGATCCGTGCCTCAGAGACAGATTTTATCAATGAGGTGGGATAGGAGTGGACCGAAAACACCAACATGACCTCGGAAGTCAGATAGGGTGAAACAGGGAGTCCCCAGAGTGGCTTCTGCTTTAGATCTCCAGATGGGAAGGGACAAATGTTCTGTTTTGACATCTCTGGATCCTGATTGTGATTTTGGCAAGGTCTGGGGAGTGGCCTCTTCCAAACAGATAGGAGCTAGTGGGAAGTGGGCCTCTAACTGTTCTTTCTTGACCTCAGGCCCTCACCACAAAAGCATCAGTCCCCAGGGGAGAACGGGTGGCCCCATCTGTGGTAGCTCAGAGCCCCAGAAACCCCAGAGACTTGCCTCATAGCAAGGAGTCTGGGCCTCTGCTAGCCTGCCCCGCCTAGCCTTAGACTCTCAGGCAGGATTGTTGAACCCACACCCCTAGGAGTGGACCAAACCCAGAAGCCTGGCCTTGGAGGAACTAGCACTGCTGGGTGACATATGCTGACCCTTTTCTGTGAAGAAACAGCCCTGTAAAGACAAATGTCACTTCCTGCACATCTCAGCAATCTCTCCCCTTCTGGGTGTCAGATTTTTTGATAAAACAAAAACCCAAAAAAAACAAAAAAACAAAACAACCAAACCTAACGACTGATTGTGTTTAAGTTGACCCCTGTGAACTTCTGTTCTTTGAGTCCTGGGGAGTTGGCCCCTGACACCCCAACCGCCACCCACCCCACGTGGCTTGTGAACCCACCAAAGTGAAGCATGCTGCTTTGGACCGTGTCTAGATTGGGAGCAGCCCTCCCTTCAGCCCCAAGGCACTGCAAGGTAGGACATAGAGAGGCTGGTGGTGGGGGTCACTTTGGCCAGCTTCTGTCCCTCCAGCAAGGGCAGATGTTAGGAAGACATCCATAAGGGCTCAGGCCTCTGAAGGTATTCTCTGGGGTGACAAATACCAGTTAAACCAGCCTAAACCAGTTAAGCCTCAGCTTCAAGACACTAAGTTGGGAGATGCAGAGACTAAGGGGGGCAATCACCTTACCCCAGCAAGGCCAAATGGTAGGAAGATATCCCTCTTTATGAGGGTCCCTGGGAACATCCTCGAACAACAAGTGCCAGTTAAACCAGTCTCTGATGCTGAAGTCCCATGGGCACATGCACAGGCCTGGTTGCTCAGGATGGCATGGGTGTGCATGTGGAGGGACAGAGCAGTGAGGCCTCATGGCCAGGGACTCAGGTTCTCAGAGGCAGGGCATCTGGGATGGTGAGGCCAATCCATGTCCTAATCCTGACTCTGCCACCTGCACAGGGGCCTGGATCCAGAGCAAATCTCTCAAGTCAAGGCCACAGCTCACTGCTCAGTGAGACACAGGTGTGTGATGTGAGAGTTGCTGACAGGAAGCTTCCCTGCCCCTCCTTGAGGCCTGTCACCTCATGTAGAACTGGGACTGGTCTATGGTCTGAACCCCCATGAGCAGAGACAGGTTTTCCCATAGGCATCCCAGGCCACCTGAAAGGCTCATAGGTGCCATGGACATGACAACACTATCTGGTGCTGGGAACCTGGAGTCCAAACTCTTGTCACTGCGTTTCTTTCCTTCCACAGGTCGTACTGGGCCAGTGCGCCCTGTTGCTCACATTGGTGGTACTGCCCTCCTTCAGGCCTGGTGAGTTCTTGGGTGGGGAAACTGGGGTCACTGAATAAAGTCCTAAGGGAAGTCCCAGAATGAAGTGTTCCTCCTGGGAGTACTCCCCAGACTCAAGCTTCAGTCTCCCACACATCAGGAGTGGTAGTCACAAAGCTCCCCAAACCCCCTTTATGCACCTCAGCTCAGGACCCTGCTCTTGAATCCTTCCCCGTGGGCCCACCTGTTTCCTCACCCTCTGTCCACTCCTTCTCATTCTTCCCTCAACCCTCCCCCCTCCCTGCCCAGCCTCTGCTGGGAGATTGGCCTGGGCCCAGCCTGGCCTCTCACTCCCTGTACCTACCCTCAGCCCTAGCCTCAGTTTGTCACCTGTGGCTTTAATTTCCACCTCTTTGCCTTGAATTCCACGTCCATCTCCCAGTCCTCTGAACCTGATCAGGGTCAAGACATCTCTACTATAATGCCTGTGATATCTTCACTCACAACACTCAGAACAGAGCTGTGGTGCACAACCCCAAAACACTTGTATCTCTTCCCCAGCACAGCTACATCTCATTTCTCTGTACCCATATCCAGTCTTTACATCCTGGACCTTGAGTCCTCTTCTATCTATCTAAATCTGCCCAGAATCCCATGATTTCTTCTCCCACAATCTCTAGCTCTCTCTCTCCACCCAAGCCATCCCTATCAGTCCCCAGACACCTGTGGCATCCCCATAAAACCCCCAGCAGCCAGAAGTACCCTCTTTGAAGCACAAATACCATCAAGAATACCTACATAAAACCTTCAATTTTTCCAACCCACCCTATAGCTCCTCCCAGCCCTGGGGTCTGGTCAGCCCCACTATTTTCCTCTGGGCTTGTCCAGTTTCTAAATGACACCCAGTTTCTTATGGCCGCATACTGTACCTACTACCTCTCCTCTGTTGATGAGCTTATGTATGATTTATCCTTAGACATAGGACGCTATGTGTGCTGAGGGTCCTCTCTTTCCTTTCTTCTCCCACTGGGTGTGGAATTGGGCCAGGGCTGTAGCCTCTGCTCACAGGCCTGCCTGTCTGTCCCCCCTAGTTCTGCCCCAGGAATGCACCAAGTACAAGGTCAGCACCTGCCGCGAGTGCGTGGAGTTGGGACCTGGCTGCGCCTGGTGCCAGAAGCTGGTAAGAGCCATGAAATTTGTGGGGAGGCATCGAGAGCCTGGTTCAAGACTTACACATTGGAGGTGGGGTGGACGGGGAGAAAAGTGCAATAATGAATGAATGGAATTCCAAAATCTCTGTAGATGTTCATTGAAAGTAATAATAATAATAATAAAACCACACACACGTCACAGCCACTGACTCTTCCTGAGTCATTTCTTCCTGTGATGTCGGTAAAGTGGTGACGTGCTAATGCCTTAAATCCTCTTGCTTTTAATAATGTTGTTGTCGTGTACTGTCAAGTCAGAACCGACCCATTGCTGACCCTCTGGAGGGTTTTTGGAGGCAGTTAATGGCACAGGAGGAGACTGCCCATCCTTCTCCTGAATTACATCTATTAAGGAGCTGATACTGGAAACACGTTGCTCGGAGTCATCAAATCTGCAAAAGTAGAGTTGATAATGAAATTGAAAAATGAAGGGAAAAAATATTTTTAGAAAAATGAACAATAGCCCGCAGCTGGATTTCCTTGAGGTCAAGGTCCACATCTCCTTTTTGAACCATCAGCATCTAGCACATTACCTGGTATGCATAATGGCAGTTAATTAAATGTCAAACTGACTTAACAGTAAAAAAAGAAAGATCATAAAGTCATAATTATAAAAGATCATTCTGCTACTGACTGGAAAAAAAAAGAACAAAGATCTAGATCTAATTCACAGGTATTGTTGTTATGTGACCTCGAGTCACCTGCACCCAGTGAGCCGATGTAAAGCAGCTCTGAATCCTGCTCGCTAGTTCTAACACATTAAAACAAGGACATTTATAACTGAGTTTATAAAAAATTTGCCTCATCTTTTTAGGTAGAATTAAATTTCAGTATCTTTAAAAAAAAAGAATTAAATTTCAGTATCTTTCAATATTTTCTCTCTCTACATTAATAAGAGTAACCTTAAGATTGTTTATTTTTGTGTTTAAATTTTACTCTATTTTAGAGAAGAAAAAAGGGAAATAGAATTATTTGTACTAATACAGTATTTGAGGAAGGAACGTCTCCAAAATATTAAAGTTCAAAGATTTAACAGAGTACCAAAGTACACCTTATGCAAGCTGTGGTGTTTTCAATCATCTCATAGGCATTCTAATAAAAGGAGGGATTTCTTCCTACTTTATCGGTCTGGCTGTCATCATCACTCCTCTATTTCACTTTTCTCATTCTTTCTTTTTTGATATATGGAGTTTAAAAATTTTATTCAATCCTTGATTTTTTTTTAATCCTCGATTTTAAAAAAATCAAGGATCTACAAACATGATGCTGAAATAAAACAGTATCATTTTTATTTTAACTCTGTCCAAAACATGTACAACATCAAATTTGCCCAACTTTTCTTGCTAATCAAAAGCTCAGTTAAGTGACATTAATTAGCTTCACAAAATGGATTAACACAGCGACTGTATCAGTGGCTTCAGCTCGTCAGGGAGCACGTGGATGATGCAGGCCTAGACAAATTTCCATGTAAAAGGTTGCTCTGAGTCTAGTCGGCGCAAAGGCACCTGACAACAACAGGGTCATGTGACCATCATCATTATTTCTTTCCAAAAACGTTTCCATATTCCTACCAAAAACTCAGTATCCAGTAAGCAATGACTCCCATTTGCTCCTCCCTCTGCCCTAATAAACCACTGACGTACTTTGCATGGGCCTCTTTTAGGTATTTCACCCAAATAGGATCATACAATCTTTGTCACTTTGTGGCTTATTTCTTTCACTCAGCACACTCTTCTCAAACTTCATTAATATTATAACATACACCTGTGCTCTACTTAGCTTTGTGGCTGACAAGCACGGTTTTATTTTAAAAAAAATAAATTGTATTTTGTACTGGTTTGCTTACAAGTCTGTATTCATTGTGTTTGACACTATTCTTCATTCCCATTGTTTTATACAATCATTCCCATTCATAATGGTTTTTTTTTAATAATTTTCATGAACATTTACAGAGAATTTGGATTTCCATTCATTCATTGTCATAATGTTTTATAAAAGGAATCACCACTGGACTATGCCCATCTTTTCAGGTCTCCTCAGGATCTTTCCCATTTCCTTTACTCCCTCCCTCCACCCATCCAATTATGTGACCCTGTGATTTCGCCCCTACCCATCCTCAACCCTCTGCTCCCACCCCTTCCCTCCTTGGATCCCCATACCTGTTTTACTAGTTTATCCTTTTATTTTTACAATAATGGTCTTATTCATGGTTTCATTCTGAAGCTCTAATTGTCCCAAGTATGACCAAGGGGAGCCTGTCCTCACTGGCTACAGTGGCCTGTCCTTTCATGTGCTTCCTCTTACTTTCTAGAAGAACAAGGCTTTCAGGGTCTCCTGCCTCCCTTACCCCACACCAGGAGTCACACATTCTCTGAAGAGTCCAACTGCCCCCTTGTCCCCACTTGCTCAGTACATTCCTCATATTCTCCCTCCTGCAGATGAAAAGTCACATTTGGTTTGTTGCTCCTCTTCCTTTCCGTTAAGAGATGTTATAAAAGTCCTTGTTTGTGGTCATTGTGAGGCACCATCAAGCCGACTCCGTTGCATATCAGCTCTGTGTACAACAGAACACAGCTTTGCCCAATCCTGTGCCATCTTCACACTCTCCACAGTGTTTAATTAAGCCTATCGTTGGAGTCACTTTTCAGTCCATATTATTGAGGGCTTTCCTCTCCTTTGATAATTCTCCATCTTCCCAAATATGATATCTCTTTCTAAGAATTCACCTTCTGCACCAACAACACGCCCACAGTATTTAAAAAGTGTCACTAACTTTGTCTCTGGGAGCATCCTGGTGGCACTACTTTTTTTTTTAATTTATTATTAATTTGTTTAATGAACATCTACAGAGATTTTGGATTTTCATTCATTCATTGTTGCACTTTTCTCCCTGCCCACCTCTTCCCCTCACCCCAATTTGTTCCTCTCCTTGAAAAGTAGAAGAAAAATTCCTTCACTGGTATATGATCCCCACCCTCCCCTCCCCAGTACACTCCACTATGCAACCTTCATTCTGGACTCTTGTCATAACCATAACAACCTATCATATATAGCTTTTAAACTGCTCTCTCCCTCATCTGTTTCAATGCAGTATACATAATTTATCCACTTTTTCTCAGTCTCTTCTCAACCCTGATGTCAGTCCCATTCTACAACAGTGGCACTATGCAGTATTTGTCCTTTTGTGACAGAGATATTTCACTCAGCTTAATGTCCTCCAGGGTCACCCATTTTAAATAATATTTCATGAGTTCCTCATTTTTCAATGCAGCATAGTATTCCATTCTGTGAATATACCAGAGGGTACTACTTCTAAAACAGATTTGTTTGTTCTTTTGCCAATTCACAGTATACAACACTTTTCACCAATACAACAATCTGAAAGTATCTATTCTCCTTCAATCTCTGTAATTCATTGTCTAGTTTTCACAATTGTGTGAAACCACTGAAAATACCATGGAAATCAGGTGCACTTTAGCCTTTAAGCCAAGGTTATTCTCATAAGTGAGATCATTTTAGTCATTTGAAATACAATTAACTTCATTTGTTTCAGTGTGTGCTAGATTTTCCCACTCACCTTTCCTGTTGATTTAATTTTTTTGCAGTACTTAAAGCATGAATATGTCCCAGAAGTCAGTGCAGCATAAAGAGACACACCCAGGAAGTATCACCCCATCCCCATTCCCCCACCCACTGTCAGCAACCACCCTCATTCCTCTCCAGCTACCTTCCTGTGCTGCCTTTTGTTGGTGTAAGCAGATCATTGCTGAAGTCAGCCCTGACTCACACAGACACCATGCATCACACAACTAAATGCTGCCCAGTCCTGTGTTGCCCCTCTGAGGCATCAGACCACTGACATCTCTAAAGTTTCATTAGCTGCTTTTTTGGAAGCCCATTGCCAGGCCTTGCCTCCTTGTCTGTTTTCATCTGGATGCTATGCTGAAACTTTATCAGCATCATAGTAACAAACACACTTCCCCTGACCGATAGAGTGAGTGGTGGCTGCGCATGAGATGCCTGGAAGCAAAACCAGGGCTCCTACGTTGAAGGAGAGACTTCTCACTGAACCTCTGTGTATGGCTTTTAGGTGTATAATTTATAAGCATTCCTGAGTAGTGTAAAAATTAAGCACTCAGCCAAGTTTGGTGGTTTAAAGCCACCTGGCAACAAACTCTTCAGGAGACAAGCTTAGAGGGTCATAAATGAAGGGTCATAACTGTGAAAACACTATGAAGTGCAGTTCTACTCTGTATACATTGGATTGCCATGAAAACAACCAACGGCAACTAACAATAACATTTGTTTAATATATCCCCAAGCCCCAAGAGAGCTTTGTTGGCCTGGTGGTAAGAAACTGTGCTGCAAGCACAAAGACACGTGGTTCAAGTCCACTAGCTGCTAAGTGGGAGAAGGATGGGCAATCTCCTCCAATGTGATTTACTGCCTCAGAAAACCCGCTGGAGGGCCAGCTGTGGGTTGTTTCTGACTCAACAGCATACAACAAGAAGCTGCAAAGGCAGGCAGTTCGAATACACCAGCTGCTCTGTGAGATAAAGATGGGCAATCTCTTCTAATGTGATTTTTTGCCTCAGAAAACCTGCTGTATGGCCAGTTTTGAGTCAGTTCCAACTCAAGGGCATCTGACAACAATCTCCCTTTGAGGCAGCAGGTCCCCTCTGTGCTCAAAACTCACTAGCCATGGTGAACTCTTTTCTGCTGCTCTGTGGGAACCTAGTGGTTCTATGGGCAAAGTGGTCAAAAAGAGCAAGGCCTGGGCTCAGGACCCCTAACTTCCCTCCCGCTGTGTCCCTCTGTGCTGGACCTGGCCTGCCCGGGGGAAGAGTAAAACCATTAAATCAGATAAGTACAGGCTTGCTTGGTCTACTTACTAACCTTACTTGCTAATCTTTACTTAATAAGCACAAGTAAGCTCATTCTTACCTTGTTTACCAGAGTCAAAAGCATGTGAAACGGTTTACAGATTAGGAAAGAAGTGCACTATGCCTGTGCTTACCCTGTGTACTGAGTACTCCGTTTCTGTCAGGGATTGATTACAAGCTTGAAAAGAGGCTTTGATGTTGTAGGAAGGTGTTGTGGGTCTGGGAGAGAGAGAGCAATGTCAGCCATTTCTACAGGCAAAGTCTTTGATGTGGTGAGAAAATGTGAAAATATTCATTACAGATTAGTAAATAAGTACAAATAAATGTGTTAAGGAAGCTCTGGTGGCCGATTGGTAAAGAGTTGCACTGACAACCCAAAGGCAGGTGGTTGTTCAAAGCCACCAACTTCTCAAGAGAAAGATGGACAATCTCCTCCTGTGCAATTTACAGCCTCTGAAAACCCACTGGAGGGTCAGTATGAATCAGTTCTGACTTGATAACACATAACAAACACGTGCTTACCCTGCTGAGTGGATATTCCCACAGTATGCTTACAGCAGAGCTGTAGCCACCACGTTGCAATTCCTAGACCGTTCCTGGCTTAGAAGCCCACCAAGGGGATGGTCCCTCTTTCTATTGGCTGTGGCCAAGGGCATGACCCAGGCCTTTCTGTTACCAGGGGCAGCAGGAAAGAGGGGAAGAAGAGGAATATGCCTTAGTCACCACTATATACGAGTGTGACTGGCTGATGATGTGTTGAGTACCATCAAGTTAGAACTGTCTCATAGCGGAACCGCCAGAGCTCCCTGTGACACCCCCACCCCAAGTCTCCTTTTATTCAGATGGTTAGAACTCATCCCAACCATTGTTTCATTTGGATGCTCACATTGTCCCAGACTTGTCACTGAGGCACGTGAAGGTTGGGTATGATCTGGGAGCTGTGCAGGGAAGCCTCTCTGAGGGGCAGGCTTCTGTCTGCTCAGTGGATATACCCCTGTCCCGAGTGCAGATAAGGCATGGGCAGGCTGGTCCCCATTTCAGAGTATTAGCTAGTACAGCATCCGCAGTGTGACATCGAGGTGACTCTCTCTGCCTTTCACCTGGTCTCTCTGTCCTCAGAACTTCACTAAAAAAGGGGAGCCCGACTCCGTCCGCTGTGACACACGGGAGCAGCTAATAAAAAAACAATGCCCGACCGATGATATTGTGGATCCCAAGAGCATCGTTGAGACCCAAGTAAACAGAGCTGGGGACCGAAAGCAGCTATCTCCACAGAGTGTGACACTCCACCTACGACCAGGTAGGCTGTCCTTTATAAACTGAGTCCAGCACCCCATGTGTGATGTTCTAAGATCTGGCCAGGCTGGGTCCTGTTCTACGGTCACTTGGCAGGTGGACAAGGTGAGGCCACAGGACAACAAGCCTGAGCCCTGCTGCACACCTGAGAGCAAAGTCTGAGCTCCAGGCAGCCTGGTTCCCTCTCTGGCCACCAGCAGATTGCCCCTCCTCCACCCTCTGCCTAGACATGCTTTTGTTTAGAACATAAACCGAAAAGCCAAACCTGTTACTTTCTCATTAATTCCAACTCAAGTCTATCTCAGACATTACAAAACAGAATTTAGCTTCTAGGGTAATCTTGGCTGTAATCGTTACAAAAGCAGATCCTCAGGCCTTTTTTCCTATGGCACTGTGGGTGCCTTCGATTCACCAAACTTTAAATTAGTAATCTTGAAAATAAGATTCAAACTCCAACTCTTGTTTCTGAGTCTGAACTGACTCATAGCTGACCTTCCTTTGGAGTGATAGGTTGTAAATCATGTGTGAAAAGAGTGCCCATCTTTCTCCCGGATGAATTTGAACCCCCTTGGGCTGACAGTGCAAGTCCTTATATACTACAGCACCAGAGTTCCTTTCAAGATAAGTTTTTGTTGTTGTTGCTGTTAGGTGACATGCAAGTTGAATATGACTCATAGCCACCCTATAAACAACAGATCTAATCTTGTGCCATCTTCACAATTTCTGACCCACTCAAGCCCATTGCTGCAGTGACTACTTCAACCTACTTGATTGTGGGTGTTCCTTTCCTTTGCTATCCCTCCACCTTCCCAAGCATGATGTTCCTTTCCAAGGAATAACCTCTCTTAGCAACATGTTCAAAGTTTGTGAGACGAAGTTTTACCATCTTTGCCTCCATGGAATACTCTGATGGTACCTTCTCCAAGACAGTCTTCTTCTGGCAGTCCATGGGAGATTCAGCATTCTTCTCCAGCACCACAATTCAAAGGCATCACTCTTCTTCTGTCATCCTTATTCATTGTCTAGCTATCAGATGCCTAGCAAATTATTGAAAAGGCCACAGCCTGAATCTGACACACCTCAGTCCTCACACTGACATCATTACTTCTTAATAATTTGGAGATACAATTGTTGTTGATGATGATTACCTTCGAGTCGAGCACTACTCATAGTGACTCTGAACAAAAGGCCTGAAGCCTTTTTATACCTATCAACATTTATCAAAGCTCATAGAGGCATGTTGTTTAAGGAAGTGGATATCACTCCTGCTTCCAAGATACAATTAGGGTTCTTTTATATGGAAATAATTTATGCGTAAATGGCTCTTGATGGTTTGACTATTTACACTCACCTGCTAAGTGCAAAGTCACTAACCGAGGTGACTTCAACAGTATTGGACACAGTAAGGATGGCACAGGACAGGGTAAGGTATTAATCTACTGTTTATAGGATCACTGTGAGTCAGAGTTGACTGGATGATACCTAATAATAACAACTTACTTGAAGGTTAGCAGTTTGAACCCACATTTGGTAATCCCGTAAGCATTACAGCTTAAGCAAATAAACACACCTGCGTAGCAGTTCTACTCTGCAACAAATGGGTTCACCAACAGTCAGATATTATTCAAAGGCAATGAGTTTGGATTTTTGGTTTTATGTTAAAAAAGTTTTTGCTGTTTTTATGGTACTCAGACCTAATAGGGTATCCACCCCTGTGCACACCTCCTCTCAATGTGCACCTCCCTCCTGGGCCTCGAGCCATCAATCACTCTCCCCACCCTCCCCACTGCAGGCCAGACCACTTCGTTCAATGTGACCTTCCGTCGGGCCAAGGGCTACCCCATCGACCTGTACTACCTGATGGACCTCTCCTACTCCATGCTCGATGACCTCAATAACGTCAAGAAGCTGGGCGGAGACCTGCTCACGGCCCTCAATGAGATCACTGAGTCGGGCCAGATCGGTGAGGCTGGGCCTTGCGGGGCCACCAACTCAGTTCTTCTCCAACCCCATTTACACATTTCCTGACGGAGAGATACTGTAAGGCTTCCATTCATGGTATCCTCAGTGGATGGGGAGAGAGCTGACGTTTGCAGGGCCATACCAGGTCGGTCCCAGAATCCCTGAGACTTTCTGGCATCATGCAATTTTTTTGTCTCTTCCTTCTTCCTCGCTCTCTTTCATTTGAAACTAAAAGACAAATGTCTTACCCTAATAATTATCAAACCAGAAAGGATAAAAAGCACCTAGATTACACAATAACCATAGAGTTAAAGGGTGATGGCAGTCCAGCTGGGCCCTTGCCAGCTCAGCTATGGAGGCTGAGTGCCACGAGCACTGGCCTGATGCAGAATTCAGGGCTGAAGGCACAGAGATCAGGAACACGGACATACAATCATCCCCCCACAGGTGTGTGCACACTGGCACACACTCACACTCCTACACGTACGTGCTCACACATCTGTGCTTGCATGCACACGTTATCATAAGCATCATTTTGCTTTTTTCCTTGACCTTTGAGGCCTACTCACCTCATCTTGCCTTTACTGGGCATTCTTGACACATAGTGCACACTTTGCTTCGTACTCTGTGTCCCCTTAGAACATGTACTTCTCACACCACACGCCCCCCTTCTCACTGTCACGTGTACCCCTCAAGCCTCCAGTCCTCCTCCATACCATGTCCCTTACATGTGTGCCCCTCAGGTTTTGGCTCCTTTGTGGACAAGACAGTGCTGCCCTTCGTCAACACACACCCCGAGAAGCTGAAGAACCCGTGCCCCAACAAAGAGAAGCAATGCCAGGCCCCGTTCGCCTTCCGGCACGTGCTGAAACTGACCAGTAACTCCGATAAGTTTCAGACAGAGGTTGGGAAGCAGCTCATTTCCGGGAATCTGGATGCGCCCGAGGGAGGCTTAGACGCAATGATGCAGGTGGCCGCATGCCCGGTAAGACCCCCTGTCAGGGTCTCTGATCCCTCCCACCAGGAACTTCACTCACATTGTCCTCATTTTCCTCACCTGAGCCCCAGGACCCTTCTGAAAGTGAGGGAGTGTGGGTAACAATAGGGGGAGTACCCATATACCGTCTGCAGATCTCATTATAAACCCTAAGTTAAATGTGAGTCTCATGGAAATGGTCATGTGTGAAACTAAGTCACAACTGAGGGCCTTGACCCTTTGTGTGCTGAGGGGGTAGTGACCCTCCTCCTCCTTCAGAAACCTCCAAGGACAAGGGGCATATTCGTTTGTGGTTAATCAGTGGCTCTCCCATGTACCCCTCAACAGCTTCTCCGTGCTCCCCCTTGCTTCTTCCCCACTTGCTTGTCACCTCTTTCAATCCACCTAGTATTTATAACACTATTCAACACCCCAAGGGTTTAAATCCCAGCAAACTCTGCACTGTACAAATCAGTGGTGAATTCTCTAGTTTCTCTGACAGTCCTTAAACACTTTGTAATAATATTAGATTCCCATTTTTAAAGCCTTGTATAATATTAGTATATGAAATTCACATTGCTAACTAACATGTTTCTTCAAGGCAATGTTACAGGGTACTTAATTTTCTTGTTGTAGTCTTACTAAGTTGGGCATTATTTTATATATACAACATTATTTGTTGTTGTTGCTGTCTAGTTGAGCACGACACATAGCAACCCTATGAACAAAAGGCCTGAAGCCTTTCTATAACCATCATCATTTATCAAAGTTCATAGAATCTCCAGAAGCATGTTGTTTAGGAAGTGGATGCCACTCCTACTTCCAACATTTTACATTACAATAAATACTTCTGCATATATTTCTCTTTTCTCTTTGGACCCCTGCCCTCTCCCCACCCCCAGTTTATTCCTGGGCTAAGATTAGAAGGACTTTTTTAATGCATATTTTTAAAAATTTAAGCCATTTTAATTTCCATGTTTCCTCCAACACCTATTTAGTTGACATTTATAGTCTGTTGCCTTGGCAAACACTCCGTAGTATAAAGCAGACACTGTGAGCCCACAGTGATCGCAGTTGGGTGATCCATACCCAGTAGCACTCTCTCTCTGTGTCTCTGTCTCTCTCTGACTTTATCTCTTTGTGTATATCTCTGCCCCTCTGGGTCTCTTTCTCTCTGGATTGGATGAAAGATACACAGAAAATTCTATAAATACCCCAAAATGGTATGCTAAACTAGTTATTATTAGACTTGTTTTTCTAATTTCTATCATAAAGCATTAGAAGCAGGAGTGGCATCCACTTCCGAAATGGCTTGCTTCCAGAAACTCTATGAACAGTGTTCAGGCCTTTCATTCACAGGGTCGCCATGAGTCATCTACAACTCGAAAGCACCTAACAACAACAACAATCCTAAAACAAGTTAATCCTTCCATTATCTTTTTAGCCATGCTTAAACAACTAGTTATAGATCAAGCAGCTAATGGTTTTTTCCTTAGACAAAGCATTATGTATTATTTCCTTCAGCCTAGGTAATCATTAACTTGACTATGTGTTGAGAATTGTTTGTGTGAGGATATAAAATATTTCCTTCTCTCTACCCTTCATGAATATTTTAATCTGGTCTGTCATCACCAGAACCTTGCGGTACTGCTTCCCCCAGTCAATAAATTTTCCCAGTCCTTGGAGAGGGACATAATGTTTGGGAGGGTTGAGGGATAGTGCAAGAGAGGAAGACCCTCAATGAGATGGATCAATTCAGTGATTGGAGTAATGGGAATAGGTGTGTCAGAGACAGTGAGGTTGGCACAGGATAGAGCAGGGTTTAGGGCTCTTGTATGTAGAGTTGCTATGAGTCACAAGCGACTCCATGGCACATAACAACAACACAATAGCAAACTAAAACAAATGTATTTTAGTCTATCTCCAGATTAGCTTTTCTTTTTCCTTTTAAAAGCCAAAATTTATTTTTACTTAAAAATGCTCAAGAGAGTTTAAAAAGTCCAAAGGATCAAAGACATCCAGATTTAATAAAGCTTATAGTAAGGTAGTGACTATCTCTTTTTCCACTATTTCCGCTTCAACTTCATTCTCCCCACTAAAATGCCTTGGAATTACTTCCAGACTGAAACTAGACAATTATTCTAACTTCCACTATTTATAAAAGCCCATCTCAGTAACAGTGACAGGCATAATACTTCCAATAGCAACCATTGATTTTGTCAATGCACAGAACTGTATAATCCTGATTCCAAGACATTAAATTAAATCCAGAAATCCAAAGCACACATCCAATTGATAAAAAGCAGATATATTTGCAGATTTTACAGGAGAATGGGTCCTCCACTATTGTCTACCACCTGGTCCAAAAGTTACACTGAGCTGGGATCATGGCAAGTCGTATCTAATATTCATGACAGCACCTCGACAACAGCAACATCCAAACAATAACCGGGAGGAAAATCTAGATCTGTTTTTCTGACTGTCTGTGAACACTAGCTTTGAGGGGCTTTCTGTCTCGGGAGCAAACCCCAACAGGGAATCACAAGTTGGGGAAGCTGAATCAAGTAACTGCTGCCACTCTCTTCTAGGAACTAATTGGCTGGCGCAATGTCACACGCCTGCTGGTGTATGCCACAGATGACGGCTTCCACATCGCCGGGGATGGGAAATTGGGTGCCATCTTGACCCCCAATGACGGCCACTGCCACCTGGAAGACAACATGTACAAAAGGAGCAATGAATTTGTAAGTTCTTGTCCTTGAAGGTCCTCCAGCAGTACCCTCCTAATACTCACCAAGAACACCCTCCCCATCACCAGAGTGAAGTGAGGGGCCTTTCTAAAGGACTTTGAATGGTCAGCAACAGTCCAGTGCCAGCCTAGGATGCTCAGTCAAGCACTGGCCCTAGAAATGGCAGGATGGCAGGAGAGTAGAGGCAAAGCTGAAATCACTGCAGCTGGCTGGCTAGCTTGCTATCTGCAGGGCCTGGGAACTCTGCACCCCTCCTTCAGATATGGATAAGTTAGCAAGGAGGCCCTGCAGGCATGGGTCTGGGTAGTTCTAGGTTTCTCAGATTTCGTGTGCTTTTTGCATGAGATTCTTCCTGGGGGATTAAGGGGGGGAAGTAGTGGGGGGTGCGCTATAGTGACAAGTAGGCATAATTCAGTGAATGCTTTGTTTTGGGGGTGCAGACACTACTTGAATACTCCTATCAAACACAAGTACCCATTATCAACAGATTCTGTTTGCAGATTTGCCTATTAGTGAAACCTTGATTTTTAAACCCCAGATCAATAGTTGGTGGCACCTTCCTGGTCATTCATGGACATGCAGATAATAGTCTAAATTTTGAAGTGTCCAATGCTATCAGTTGAGGTTGAACAAGGCAACTAACTGATGCTTTGCCTTCTTATTTGTTGATGATGTATACCATAGAGTTAGAACCCACCCATAGCTGACCTTGGAGGGTTTTCAGAGATAGTTAATTACATGGGAGAAGACTGCCCATCTTTTTCCTGTGGAGCAGCTGGTGGCCTTGAACCGTGTACCCTCAGGATTGCAGTGCAGCATTATTTTTATAGTCTATTTGGTACCACATTTTCCTCATCTTTGAGCTTTTTTTCTTGGTGGGTTTGCTGTTTAAAATTCCCCTAAGTGTAGGGCTGATCTGGTGTTCTTAAGTGCATAAGGGTAGTACTGTGCCTTCTTCTTGTTGTTACTGTTGTTATGTGCCATCGACCCTATGTACAACAGCCCTAAACTCTGCTCTGTCCTGTGCCAATCTCACTATTTCCAACAAACCCATCCCAATTACTCCAGTCATTGAATCAATCCACCTCCTAGAGGGCCTTCCCCTAATGACCTTTTAATCATAAAAGTAACATATGCTCAGTGGAGAACTTTTTAAAAGGTTAAAAAAAGAAAAAGGAAAGACAATTAGTCATAATTCCACCATCCGGAGAATGCTGCTAGTTGTGGCTCAGTTGTCCTCAACTTAGACTCTGCTTCACAGTAGTTTTGATACAGAGAAGGGGGTTTATTAGGGAAGTAAATTAGAGAATGAGAGAGGCAAAGAATGTCGCCCAATGCAAATCCAGGTTTAGCTCAACAGTCCCAAGATACATTTCCTCAATTGGGCCAGTCTCAAGTTTCAGTTCAGCAAGCAGCTTTTCCTATCATTATCAAAGGTAAAAACAGCAAAGACTTTAACTGTTGCCAACACAAATGCAAGATGCCTCAGGTCACACCTTACTTACTACAGTTTCTCACAACAATGCCACAGTATCTCCACCACTATTGCCAGGCTGTCACCACCAGGGTCTCACTCTCGATAGAGGTTTGTTCTAGTCTCCCGCAAGTCTTGCTATTCTCCAGTCTTGCTCACCACAAGTCTGCTACTCTGTGTGGGAAACATTCTCTCACTTATCCTAGTCCCACAGCTGTTGCCAATTTTCAAGTGTCTACAGTTAAGATGGCTGGAGACTAGAGAATGGCTGATAAAAGCCAACTTTTAGACTAACATTGCAATACTAATACAAAAATTCTGCTTTACTCAAATCTATTTAAAAAGTTATTGATTTTTTTAAAAATATAAATTTCTAAAAACAATTTTAAATATAAGTTTATAAAAGTAATTAAAGGAGGAGCTCTGGTGGCCTAGTGACAAGAATTTGCTCTGCAATCCCGAAGGCACACTGTGTAGATCCACCAGCTGCTCTGTGGAGAGGAGGACAGTGCCTTATGAAGGAAATAAGCTAAGCTTCATTCCAGCACCAGCTACAGTGCTGTTGTCTGTGAATTCAAGATTAATGAATCAACAGCATATATTCAGTAATTTATCTTTATACAGAAATACACATTTTAATAAGATCTATAAAAAAGATGATGTAACGGTGCACAGAGTTTAATGGTGATTATTTTTTATAAAACATAATGAATGGGAATGATTGTATCAAACACGATGTGAATGAAGCATAGTGGGGGAAACAATATATACAAATTTTGTATGCACACCAATATATAATAAAAATTGGGACAATAAAAAGGTTCTGTACAGACCAAGTAGTGAGCATGTGGTGACCAGAGGCGCATAAGGACCTTTCCCTGTATTTTCCTTCCATTGTTCCTTATTCTCTCATTCAACCTTTGCCTTAGAGGTGGCAGTAGAAGGTGCAACTACCACGGACAAGGAGAATTGTTTGTATTCTGGTCTATCCTGATGTAGAACTCAGGCCTTGCTCTCTTGGAAGCATTAACTTTGGACACTGCAAAGAATTGCAGAGATCAGGCAGCTCAGGGCTTCTTTTCTTGGAGTCTACAGGTTTGAGATGGGTGGGGTCAGTAGTAGAATTCAGGGGTCCACGAACATAGACAGAGAAAAGTAAATCCAGTATGAGTGGTTTGTAGTTTCACTGTGGAGGGGACGAGAGCCCTTAACTTCTGAAGTTAAAGGGTTCCTAGAAAATAATTTAGTGTAGGCTTCTCAATCTACACATTCCTCTTCTTGGAAAGTGTGGGAGTCAGTTACTGACTCTCTCTTACTCATTGCTATTGAGTTGGAACTGAATCCTAGCTGCCTCTCCAACTGGCTTTGCAAGACTACAATTCATACAGGAGGAGACTCCCATGGAGTGGCTGGTCGATTCAAACCACTAGAATTTGAGTTACCAGCACAATTCTCTATTAAGTATGCCAACAGAGCTCCCTGTTATGCCAACCATGTGCTTTTTGCTGTGATGGAGACACACATCATAGTTCTTTATAGTTTCTTAATTGTATTCAAGTGATGGACTTTTCTTCAGGGTCCTCTTTAAAGGAGCCATGGTGGTACAATAGCTAAGTGACCAGCTATTGATTCAAAGGTTAACATTTCAAATCCACCAGCTACTCCTTGGAAGAGAAGACCCAGTGATCTACTGTCAGTAAGATTACATCCTAGGAAATGCTTTGGGGCAGTTCTGCTCGTCACGTTCCTGTGAGTCATGACTGATTGTCTCAACAGCACACAACAGCAACTCAATCATTTCCACTTTATGTATGTATATACATTATTTAGAGAAGGCCCCATGCTCACCCCCTCTGGACTCTGGGAAAAACATTGAGGGTAGGCATCAACTGGGTACCTGAAAAGTCTTGTCCCTAGGCCCTGAGACCATCTAACTTGACACTTCGTCCCCTCTAGGACTACCCATCTGTGGGCCAGCTAGCCCACAAACTAGCTGAGAACAACATCCAGCCCATCTTTGCTGTGACAAAAAAAATGGTGCCAACCTATGAGGTAAGTGGGTTCAGGCTTCTTGAGAAACATGAGTGGGACTTTTGCCTTTTCAGTGAAGTGATGATAACACCCGGTTACCACAGCCCAAGTTCTGCTTTCGCCTGCTGGGTGGAAGGGCCTGGCTGATGTCCACTGGCTGAATTTTGCAGCTGAGGAACCTGCTTATATGTAGCACAATATTAATGTATGAGTAAAAAAGGAATTCTTTCCCATCCTTGAAATTTATAATATTAACATTAAACATGTCTTAGCATCAATTAATTTTTACAGTGAAGCTACATTTTGCTAGAATATGGCAAGGTTTTTTTGGCTTTGCAGATGGAATTCTTTATTTTAGGACACTTTCATAGTTTATATATACATACACATTTGAACACAAACATGAACAATTTCATGATGTCCTAGTGGTGCAACAGTTAAGCGCTCAGCTACGAACTGTAAGGTTAGCAGTTCAAACATACTCAACAACTCTTTGATAGAAAGTCCTAGCAATTTGTTTACAAAAAAGATTAAAGCCTGGAAAGCCCCATGGGACAGTTCTGCTCTGTATATATAGGGTCACTGAATCATACCTTGACTTGATGGCAGCTAACAATAATATCAACATGGGTTACAGAAATGTTGATAAATTTCACAGAAGACACACCTCTCTCAGTGGTTAGATTGAAAGGGGCCTAAGCCATTCTTTGTGAGGGCCCATCCCCGCCCCCTATTTCTACCTCCCGAGGAAAACTATCCCTTATGTGAACTGAGGGCACTTCCTTCTTCTCATCTCCTACTTCTCTGCTTTAGGACCCAGCTTTGTCCGGAAGCCATTGAATTGCTGCTCTTTTTTCTATTCTTCTACAGTGTGAAACTCTGGTGCAGAAGTTTTAGTCACTTCCTAGAGTAGTTTTTCTTCCTTCTTTCCTTCATTTATTGTTCTTGCGGAAGTGTCCTGATTACCACACTTTCCTATGTGATAAAGTGATCACAACATCTTTTTTTAAAAAAACAACAAACAAATACTGGTTTATTTACAAAGTTCAAATACATTGTTTTTCACACCAGATCTTTCCCATTTCCTTCACCCCCCCCCCTCAAATTGTGTTACACTATGATTAAGCCCCTCGTCCTCACCTCTCTGCTTCCCCACCAGGTCCTCATACTCATTCTACAATAATGGTTTTATACATATTTGTCCTTATGGGACTGAGTTAGTTTACTCAGCAAAATGCTCTCCAGTTTCTCCCAAGTTAGGTAGTAATTTACGAAATCATTGTTCCTGCGTGCTGCTTTGTAGTCCATTGTGTGACTATACCATAATTCCTCAATCTATTCTGCTGTGGTTGGACATCTGGGCTGTTTCCATTTTCTTTCAATGGTGAGTAATGCTGCTATGAACATTGGTTTGTGACAAAATCTTTTAAAAGAATGGTCTTTGCACTGTTGTCAAGGAGAGTGTGGAAGAGGAAGTTGTATGACTGCAGCCCAAGATTGGTCAGGGACAGTCTGTATTTCAAGATGTTCTGGCCCCTTGCCCTGGGTGAGCCACTAGACCAGCTACCACTGTCCCACCAGAATTGACTCTCGTGTTGTTTGACTTCTACCCACTACCATTTTGTTGGTTGTGACCATCTATCATGTTTCCGAGACATAAATCTTTATGGGAAGAGGCTGAGCATTTTTTTCCTAAGGGTTAGCTGGTAGATTCGAACTGCTAACCTTTCAGTTAGCAGCCCAACGTTTAACATACTACACTACCAGAGCTCCTTTATTTAGCATACTATGTTATGTAAATGCATTCAAATGTCCAGCACTTCTTGATGATATTTGCATTTCTCTAACATATGGGGCTTTGATGCCTATTATATCTGTAATAGATATCTCTATATATATCTATAGATAGAGATAGAGAGATATAAACATCCTATTATATCTCTTATATATGGGGGCCTTGATGCCTATTACATTTGTATGGTAGGAACATCATCTGATGGTGGCTTCTATATGTCTCCTGCCAACTCTCTATTGGATGACACCACTTGATGGATTGAAGTTGATCATGATGGGAATATTTATACTAGGGGAATGAACAAACACTACAAAGCAGGACTTCTTCCTGATAATTGATTGTTACCCCTTTACCAGACCCCACTGACCATAGTTTCCTCAGCTAAATAAATAAGAAAGTTGGGTTGAGGGTTTTCTGAGCTACAGTGGAGAAATGGAGCCCCTTTGGGTGTGGAACAGTTGGTTGATGTTGAGGGCTGTCACTGCTGTATGTTGCATCCTTCTGCCTAACAGAAGCTCATGGAGATCATCCCCAAGTCGGCAGTCGGCGAGCTTTCTGATGACTCTAGCAACGTAGTCCAGCTCATCAAAAATGCCTACAATGTGAGTCTCCCTTAGCCCCTAGGTGGTGAGCTTAGGCTAAAGCCCAGGGGGCTGTCAGCCAAATCACCCTCCACATTGCAGAGCAACAGAGGGTGGCCTGGAGGGGAGCTCAGCTGAACAGGGAGGACACTTAGCCAGGTCACTTTCCATCTGGCTCTGTTTCCTTTCACTGATGGCTTGTGATGTGTCACCCTGGACCTTCACCTTTGTGTCCCTCAAAACAAGAGGCCAGCTCTCTTTACTGGGAACTCTTTTCTGCTGGTCTTTATAAAAAAGTAGAGACTGACAGAATACCTAATGGGTAAGTAGGGGCCTCCAGCTACCATATGTATTTACCATGTCCAGCTCATGCTGTCTCCAGATGCTGTCCTCAGCCTGTCTGGAAGCCCTTGAGGGCAGGACTGTAGTGTTCATAATTCCCCTGGCATGGAGCCTTCAGTGGGCATGTGGGTCATGGGTGCTGAGGTGGGAGGTGGGAAGTAAGGAGGTGAGAGTTGGAGGGAAGGGGACAGCTGTGTCATTCACCCCTGAATGGTAGTCATTTCTGCCCACAGAAACTCTCCTCCAGAGTCTTCCTGGACCACAGCACCCTCCCTGACACCCTGAGAGTCACCTATGACTCCTTCTGCAGTAATGGGGTCTCACGACTGGACCAGCCCAGAGGGGACTGTGATGGTGTGCAGATCAACAACCCGGTGAGCACATCTCATACTGTGGGTGCCATTGAGTCTCTATGTCCAACATTCTGGAAACAACTCTCTAATGAGGGTGTTCTTTTATAAACGCCTGTGGGAGTGAGAAGAACAGTGCATGTAGGCATGCTGACGCCTGCAACAGGATCATGCCAGAGACACTTTTCTTCTCATCAAATATTTTCCCTAGGGCCAAATATATTCTCGTGTAAATTTATGTCCAGAGTGCTGTGATAGCACAGATAGTTAAGCACTCAACTACTAATGGTTGTTGAACCCACTCGGAGGCACCTTGGAAGATAGTTTCCAAATGGTCACAGTTCTGCTCTGGAGCAGTTCTGCAAAGATCATGTCACCATGAATTAGGGTTCACTCCATGGCAAATAATAATGATGACAAATTTTCATCCTAAATGGTAAGGAAGTGGCACAGGTATAGAATTCAGACCACTATGGTGGTGTACAGTACTATACTTCTCAGTTCAGAATTTCCCTTGAAATAAGTTAAGTGTAGGCCCTCTGTGCATAGATTGAAAGAGATCGTGATGACAGTGCCCCCTGGGGACAGACCTTTGTATAACATCTAGGCAAAGAAGGACATTTCAAACACTGCATTTGGTTTGCTTTGGTTAGCTAGTTGCTTTTTTAAAATAATAATAATAATAAACTGTTTCTTTTGTACTGGTTTACTTACAAAATTCTGATACATTTTTTACACATTGGATCTTTCAGATTTCCTTATTCCACCCCTCCCTCGACCCATCAAATTGTGCAACCCTATGATTAACCAGCCCCCTCCCGACCCATCCTCATCCCTCTTCTCCCTCTTTCCCCCTCTTGGATCCTCATACTTGTTCTACAATCATGGCCTTATATAGTAATTGTCCTTCTGGGAGTGAGTTAGTTCATTCAGCATAATGCTCTCCAGTCCCTCCCAAATTAGATAATAATTTACAAAATTACTGCTCGCAATGCTGCATAGTATTCCATTGTGTGAATGTATCACAACTTCTCAATCCGTTCGATGGTGGTTGGATATGTGGGCTGTTTCCATGCTCTTATGATGGTTACTAATGCTGCAATGAGCACTGATGTTCAAGTCTCCGTTTGTGCCTCAATTCTCATTTTCTTGGGGTATATTCCAAGCAGTGGAATAGCTGAGTCATATGTAATTTCTATGTTCAGCTTTTTGAGGAAATTCCAAACTAATCAGCGGCTTAAAAAAAAAAAAGCAGTAAGTCACACAGCAAGTAAAAGTAAGCATTGGATTATTTACTTCTAGGAGATAATCCACTAGAAATTTAGATTTAAATTTATTATGACTTTTAATGGTTCCATCATCCCCCCCACTGTTTGCTTTGCACTAAAATTTAGTGAGCTCTTTGCTTTTATTGTACTTTTTGAAATATTAAAATATCTTCATATTTGTTATTAAATGTTACATATGAATTTTACTGAAACAGTTCTCCTAATGTGGGCTTACCTATATTAGGGATTGATTCCCTTTTCTCATAACTTACTGGTTGCATTTTGCACATTTTTACTGGAGTTTTTACCCCTTGCATTATCTTAGCATACTATATAGAAATTTATCTTAATTTATTTTTTTGTGTGACTTGCTCCTGACAAGCCTAGGTTCCCTGAAGTACAGGACTGGCCCCTACTGTACCCATGAGTGATGAAGTTTCTGTTCTGTGCCTGCATACAGACGTCATGATGACCAATCCCTGTCCACTTAGCTGTACGAGCTTCATTCCAGGTTAAAATATTGCGTTATATCCAGAAGTGAGGCTTCCTGCAGGATTCTGGTGTGCCAGCATACTGAATCTAAATTAAAAAAAAACAACAAAAAAACGCTCATATCAATCCCAGCTCATGGTGATCCCATGTATGTCAGAGTGCAACTATGTTCCATGGGGCTTTCAATGGATGTTTTTTCAGAGATAGATTGCCAGAACTTTCTTCTTAGGTGACTTTGGCTGGACTGAAACCCTTTTTGGTTAAGCTGACCACAATAACTATTTGTACCTTCCTGGGACTCTTATTCTGGACCTCTAATCCTAAAGTCCTTTAAAAATCCCTTTTAATTATATGTGATAGAAAATATTATAGAGATATATTTATTCCTCTCCCAAAAAATTCTCACTCTACAAAGGACCCAGTACTGGACAGAGCCACTGCTGATATCCCTACATCTAAGATTTTAGTTTACCTCTTGTTCTCTTTTCTGTCTTTCCTCTCATGTGACTTGTATCCACAGAAGCCTGGTTGGTGTATTTTCACTCTCTTAAATCTTCAATTCTCAGGACCTCTGCAGAGGGTCTGCCTCTGGCTTATCTTGGTCCAGCTGGGTTGCAGTGTCATGGCCCAGTCCCTGTGACTGGCCAGCCAGGATAGGGGATTGGACTGAGGGGACTGGAAAAGACTGCCTCATGGCTGTCCAGGAGGGGCCTGGTGGCCACATTTGAACCCTATATCCTCTCCACTTGCAGATCACCTTCCAGGTGAAAGTCGTGGCTACAGAGTGCATCCAAGAGCAGTCCTTCACGATCCGGGCATTAGGTTTCACGGACACAGTGATGGTGCACGTGCACCCACAGTGTGAGTGCCACTGCCAGGACCTCAGCCTTGACCCAAGCCAGTGCAACAACAAGGGCGTCGTGGAGTGCGGTGTCTGCAGGTGAGGGAGGTGGTACAAGGTGTCAGCATGAGGCCTGCACCCAAGCTCTTGCTCTCAGGGTCTCTGGATACTGGGCTAGGTGGAAGGCCCAAGCCATGAAGAATTCATCTCAGAGGGAACCCAGGCCAAGGAAATCAGACTTGATGGGTGCTGGGGCCTGGTTGGGTCTCAGGCAGCTCACCTCCTTTTCTCTGCCCAATGGTCTCTAAAGACTTTTTTCTTTGGCTTTTGGGGCTCTGGACCATCAGCTGACAACCAGTACTGAATGACTAGAAGGATCCCAGGACAGATGACCACTCTAGACAGCCCAGACCCTCTAGTCCACTCCTGGACATGTCTACATCTCACACTCACCCACCTCAGATACAGTTTGGTGTGGACAGGGGTCTGTCTGTCCAGTAGGCAGTTTAGGGAGAGGTTAGCTGGGCAGTTTTGCAATGAACACAGACCCACTTACCTGATAGCTCACAAACCCAGGTTACAGAGGCCATTATGAGGACTAAGAATATGTGGACAATGGCCTGAGAACATACAGAAAACAAACAGAAAAGAAAGCAGAGTGAAGGTGGAGGGGTTGGCACCTGAGGGCTAAGCCTAAAGGCTCAGTACAAGAGCTGTTACCGTCACTGTGGCATTCACGCATTGGCCACCTTTGTCAGGGTGGAACCGTGTTTTCTGGGGTCTGGGCCTGGCTATATACTTACACATAGTAAGTGTTCAGTAAACAGCTGAGGGGAAAAGCAATCACAGAGATAGATGTAGATGTTCTCAACCACAGGCGTGGGGCAGCAGCCCCAGGATCCAGAGAGGTGTCCCTGACTGCTGAATCCCTCTGTTCCCAGGTGTAACCTTGGCTATGTGGGGAAAAGCTGTGAATGCCAGACCCAGGGCAGGAGCAGCCAGGAGCTGGAGGGGAACTGCCGGAAGGACAACAGCTCCATTGTGTGCTCAGGGCTGGGTGACTGCATCTGCGGGGAGTGCATCTGCCACAAGAGTGACGACCCCAAGAAGCAGATCTTTGGGCGCTACTGTGACTGCGACAACTTCAACTGCGAGCGCTATGATGGCCAGATCTGTGGTGGAGAGAGTGGGTGCACATGGCGGGAGCCCAAGGGTGGTCCCTAGCAGCCCCGGGGGTCCTGATCGTGGGCATAACAGAGCTGCTGTCAGCTTTTCACAGAGCAAACCTGGCCATGGTGGTGGTGGTGATGGTTGTGTGCCGTTGAGTCAGAACCCACCACTCATAGCTGACCCTCCAGCAGGTTTTCAGAGTCCGTTAATTGCCCCTCCTTCTTTCGAGGAGCAGCTGGTGGAATTGAACCACGTGCCTTGGGGATTGCAGTGCAACTTCTTGCCACTAGGCCACCAGAGTTCCATAAGGTCCTTCTAGACCATTTGCACTGGGAGGCAATGAATGGGAACAGAAAGAACAGACATTGGAAACAGTTTGAGCCTCCTATGACTGCTGTAGCAAGCATCACAATGTGGGTACTTAAAATAATCTGAATTCTAGGCGTCAGAAGTACAAATGTAAGGTGTTACCAGACCCGAGGGTTCACGTGTCCTAAAGAGGGGGAAGTGTGGTTTGAGGGAGGGACAAGAGACACGAAAAAATAGAGGCAAGACAAATTCATCTGATCAAGCCCCAATATATTAAAGAAACTCCCGGCAATAAATAGGCAACTGTGTAGGCCCGGCTGCCACCGGAAACCCAGCCCTAGGCTATTTGTTTACAATAGAGAGGGAGGGGCATGCCTCAAGGCTTTGCATTACAGGCACTGATCTAGCGAGGTAAGCGTTTTTTCCCCAGAGATGGGCTCGGCCAGCTGGATGTCAGAGTGAATTTAGGGAATGAGGTCCACAGACAAAATAGAGTTGTACATGGCAGAGCTAAGACCTGCTTAGGATGGCTTCCTACAAAGGTGTTACAAGGTTAGTTCCTTTTGAAGATTCTTTAGAAGGATCCTTCCTTGCCTCTTCCAGCTTCTGGTCATTCACTCACTCATTGCTATTGAGTCTCCAAGCTGAGCCTCCGGGGAGTTTTCAGAAGCTGTAAATCTCGTGGAAGGAAATTGTTCATCTTCCTCTTGCAGAGCAGCTTGTAGATTCAAACCACTGGCCTTTGAATTGGAGCATAACGCCCTGCTCTGTAGACTACTAGAGCCCCAGCTTCTGGTACTTTCTCTGCCTCCATAGTCAACATGGCATTTTCCCTCTGTCTCCCATCTGTGTCTCGTTGTTGTTGTTATGTGCCATCACATTGCCTGTGACCCTATGTACAACAGGTCTGAACCCTGCACTAGCCTGAGCCAATTTCATCATCTCTGGCACACCTTCCCGCTTCACCCCAGTCACGGAGTTGATCCATCTCATCCAGGGTCTTTTTCTCTTGCGCTGTCCCTCTGCCTTTCCAAGCTTAATGTCCTTCTCCAAGGACTGGTCCTTCCTGGAAACATGCACAGAGTATGTGAGTCAGAGTTTCAAAACCCTTGCATTTTTTATAAGAGTACCACAACAATGTTAATACTATGACAGGTTTTGGAAGCAGGAGTGGCATCTTCTTCCTAAATAACATGCCTCCAGAAACTCTATGAACTTTGATAGATGACAATAGTTGTAGTCGTTCTCAACTTGAAGTCAATCAACAACAACAACCACTTGTATGGGATTCAGCGCTACCTGCCTCCAATATGACCTAATGTCAATTTAATTAATAATATCTCAAAGACCCCTGTTTCCAATGTTCTCAGATACCAGTGGCTAGGATTTGAACATACATTTTGAGATACACAATCCAGTATATAATAGAGACAGACACACAGACAGGCACAGGAAAGCCTGATCACTCAACAGTAACAGGATTATAGTGGACTTCTTTCTCTCCTGGTCTCTATTTTGGCCTGTGAGAGTCAGGAGCCCTCATGGTAAGATCTCCCACAGAATATGCACTGTGGGGATTTAGCAATGGCAGCTGTCATCTTGAGTGATGTTGGAGGTCTGGGCAGGAAGAGCAGCCCCAAACACAGGTAGGCAGGAGAATGTCCAGGGTGTTGAAGGTGGTCTAGATAACAAAATAGTAACTGGCAGAGGTGTTAGTGGGCAGCAGGGCCGAGTGGGTGATCCAGGTACCCTGCGGCTGCTTGGCCAGCTCTAGTCACCACTGGGAGAGGAGAAAGGAAATAAGAGACAGGGTCAAGGCAGCAAGAGAAAGGTGGCCATGTAGGTCAACTTGCATCTCCCAGGAGACCCTTGACCGAACACTGGGAAACATAGGCAGTGGCAAAAAAGGAGGCACACTGCAGCAGGGTGCAGAACATGTGGCAGGGCAAGGTTCTGGGCTGGTATCACAGGGGCTGAGATTGGGCTCTGCTCTCTTGCAGAAAGGGGAAGCTGTAACTGTGGCAAGTGCTACTGCCACCCAGGCTTTGAAGGTTCAGCGTGCCAATGCCTCAGTTCCACCGACGGTTGTGTGGACGCACAGCAAATTGTATGCAGTGGACGTGGGCGATGTCGCTGCAACGTGTGTGAATGTGACCTTGGCTACCAGCCACCCCTGTGCCAGGAGTGCCCTGGTTGCCCCTTGCCCTGCAGCCTCTATGTGTGAGTATAGGGACAGGGATTGAGAAGGTTCCCGCTGGGAGCCTCCATGCCCACCTCTCCATACATAGCCACCTTACAGCTGGGTGTCTTCATCAAAGGCCAGCCACCCCAGGCCCCCTGTCTGAGAGGACCAGCCCTTACACTTGCACGCACCATCTTGCATACCCACCCACACTCACACTTGTGCATTCTTGCATACCAGAGCACACACAGATTCTCTCAAGCCTGTGCACTCTTTTTTTTCCTTATTTTTTTAAATTTTTATTTTATTATTTTTGTGTGAGTGTACCGTCAAATCAGATCTGACTGGTACAGGAGGAGATTGTCCCTCCTTCCCCGGCAGAGCATCTGGTGGATTCGAACCGTGCGCCTCTGGGATTGTAGTTGCAGCTCCTTGCCACTAGGCCACCAGAGCTCCCCTGCTTGTGTGCACTCTTGTGGTCTCCTTCACATTCTTGCACACCAGCACACCTGTGTGTCTTCTTGCACATGCGTGCAAACCTGTGCACGCACACACCGCCACACATTTCCTCACACTTGCCCACCCTCTCACATGCACAGGCCCACGCCCAAATGCACTCTTGCACATCTGTGCTCACCAGCCTTCCTCCTGCCCTCAGCTCCTGTGCCGAGTGCCTACAATTCAAAAAGGGCCCTTTAGTGAAAAATTGCAGTGCAGCATGCCAGAACCTGGAGCTGCGTGAAGACCTACCCAAAACAAACCGGATATGCAAGGAACAAGACTCAGAGGACTGTTGGATTAGCTTCACGCTGAGTCAACGTCCTGGGAAAGAGAACTACTTCATCCAAGTGAAGGAGACACGAGGTAAGATCGCATTACAGGTAGTGGGAGCACTTTTGTTCTGGTGACCCAGCAAGACTACTGCATCTGAGTCTTTCTCAGAAAAGGTCCAGGACAGCAGGGCTGAGCTGCATTGTGGGATGGGACCCTGATGCAACATCTCCTGTAGCCTTAGGTCTGGCTCCTAACCCCATTACCAAGGAAATGACTTTGCAATATCAAGGTGGGAGCTGGTTCAAAGATCAAACTCACTAAGTTCACCACGGGTATTTTGACAAATCTAAAGGCTCTGATCTCAGGCCTAGGGCTAGTCTAAGGCCTGATAAAGCATTGCCCAAATGCTTTTTTTGGTCTAATAATGTACTCGGCTCCAGTTCCAGACTAGGTATAGTGACAGCTATGGCTGTGCTCAGGACAAAGCTGGGATCACAGCTGTTGTGCATAGGGTCACTATGAGTGGAGGAGACACATCTTTATATGATCACAGACCAAAATGTTGGGGGGTTTTCAGCCAAGAAAGAAGGAAGCAAATACCCTCAATAGGGACAGAGTGAGGCCAGGGTCACAAGGAAGAAGAGGCAGTAGCAGGAGCTGAGCTCCTTAAGGTCAGAGGTTAAAGGTATCTGGGAATTCCAAATGAAATGCAAGAATCATTATCCAGACCAGGACACCTCAGCTCCAAGGCCAAGAGGAGGCTTCATGACCAGAGTTAAATGACCTAGACAAAGAGGGACAGGACACAAGACAAGATTTGGGGGAAGGTGCATGGCCAGATTAAGTAAGGATGAGAGGTGTGCATGGGGGACATGAAGTCAGGACACTATATGGGGCTTTGAAAGCCCCTGGGGCATGGCATGCAGGCTTCAAAAGTACTTGGGAACCATGAAGGGATTGAAAAGTGGTTGCCCATCTGAGTTGTATTTTCAAAGCTGGCTTGGAGGCTGAATGGAGGACAAACAGGTGGTGTGGGATGCTTTCACAGCCTAGCAGACCCTAAGGAGCTAGAGTCAAGGAAGAGGAGTCAGGCTAGGATCTTGAAGGGCAGTGTGCAAAGGGCCCAAGCTCAGAGTCAGCTTCAGACAAAGCCTAGCAGTGTAGGCCAGAGGGACAGATGGCAGGTCCAGGGTCCCAGAAGGCCTGCACACAGGCTTTGGAAGAGAGAGCAAGAGGCTCAGAGAAGACTAGAAGAGGTACACTGAGTTACTGGGGATGCTGAAATATAGAGTAAGGAGATGCATATGCCCAAGAGGACAGAGGCTTAGCCCTAGCAATTTTGACCTGTGGCCCCTGGGAAGCATGCTGCTCTCAGATGCCCCACCGACTATATTCTCAACCAGCAAGACTGATGGGTGGGAGTGCCAACTGGACCCCATGCCCATGTGGTTCCTGTAGATTACATTCTTGAAGGACTAAGACCCACTCCAGCAGAACACACTATGACTCACGATGAGGACCCAGAGGCAGACAGTAGGAACAGGTCCTCAGAGCATGAAGCTGGGAGAACTTGCATAGTTCTCTCCAGACTATTTTACCAGCCAGGTTTTGTGCAACATTGGTCAACTTGCCTAACTTTTGTGAGGCCCCTTAAGCTTCTCTGGAAGGGCCAAGCCTAGAATGAAGGAACACCCAGGGCAAGGTAGATGGGGGATCTCACAGAAGAGCAATGCTTCTTTCCACATGGCCTGTTATTGGCAGATGGTCCCTCCACTCCAGAAATGTACACTCAAAATGAGGCCACTGCAGGCACTGGGGGTAGGGATCCATGCCAGTCTTGTTCCTTTACCTGCTAGAGCTCAGGTCATGGCTTCCTACCACTTGCTCACTTGGGAATCTCCACCCTTGTACAGTGTATAAACTCCAGGAAGAACTATGCAAGTCATCATCTCTAATATCCTCTACAGGTTGTTCTAGGGCCCCAGGCACCACTGGCTCCCCAGTGTTAGCGGTCTCATCCAAACTGCAAAGTAGTCTGGTTACTTGGCAAGGAGCTTGTCTTTGTAGGCCCTGATCCCTTTACCTATAACAAAGGCTGTACAAATAGCCTCTATGCTTGGACTCACAAAGCCTTGCCACCTATAAAAATAGTACAGTAGCATGAAGGCAGCAGCATCTGATCTCAACTAACTACACAAGGGGGAAGAGTCCCTATTAGCGGCGTCTACAACACAAGACCCATTCCTATGAGATAAGACAGGCCTCTCAGCTCTATTATCTTCCTTTATCAGCTCTAATACCAACCATCTCTCTTGCTACTCTATTACTGGGTCCACTGATCCATTGCAATGGCCACACAGATTTCTCAGGCAAAATTCAGAAATGTGGGGTTTATTAAGGAAGTAAACAGGATAAAATTCTTCAATCAAAACAGCTTCTCAGGTGTAATCACAGTCTCTTTGATTTTTTAGTCCATGGTTTTAAAACCAGTGTTGCACAGCTCATGCCAATTACGGCATAGCCCTTGCCCTCCAGTAAGCCTGGGCAAAGATCCTTGTTCCAGACCTTTGGGAGGAAAGTTCCAGTTTGGCTACCCCTGATTTCTGGTTCTCTGTCAGCTCTTTTTCCGGTTCTGCTGCTGCTGTGTCTGGGTCCCAGTCTGTCTCCTTCTCTCACATGAACTTCTGTTCTGGAAGGAGGCATGCTGTATTTTCTGTTCCTTCTTTCTTAGTAGTAGTGAGATTCCCTTTTAAGCCTAGCAGGATGGCAAGACTGACTAGGCCCCTCTTTAGTCATCTACATATCTTGTAAGTATGTTCTTACCCCAAAAAGGTGCACATTCCCATCCATGTGATAAAAGTCAAAGCCAAAGGCTAGGGAAGCCATTTTTCATTCTCTACTGCACCACATCCCTGCTTTGCTGTCCTCCTAGCAACCGGACAGTGACACAGGATGATGGGCATGTCCCTGCCCCAGAGAGCTCAGGGCAATGTCCTGGGATAAATGGGTACATACAGGGGTGAGGAAGATGGAGGTAACTAACACTGAGGTGGGTGTGTGTTTTCCCACAGAGTGCATTGAGGGGCCCAAAGTGGGTGCCATTGTTGGGGGCATAGTGGCAGGCATTGTACTGATTGGCTTGCTCCTGCTGATCTCCTGGAAGGCCTTGATCCACCTGAGTGACCTCAGGGAGTACAAGCGATTTGAGAAGGAGAAGCTCAAGTCCCAGTGGAACAATGTGAGTTGCTGTCATCTTCTGAGTGTCTACAGGGGTAAAGAAATGTACTATGTGTTTGGGAGTGGGCAAGATCCATGCTTCGAAGTGTGTGGACATTAGCCGCATTCCTCATCTGTAATGTTTTCTCAGAATGTAGGTGCTAGAGAAAACCTTTTTCTACCTAGTCAGACTTCCAATCTGGGCTCTACCACTACTACTATAACTATCTGTGTTCCTCTACTGTTCATAGGTTTTTTCAAAGGCCTTCTATTTAAGAAGCGGATGGCCAGTCCTGCTTCCTATTCTGTCTTAATCTGGGAGCTGTACTGATGATACCTGTCCACCATGGGAAAACCTTGTGGCATTTAACACACCAGTGGCACAGCTGTCAGTATCACAGCAACTCACAAATTACCTCAGCACAGAAAACTAACAGACAAGTGCTGTGCCAATTAGAACAATGTTCTCCCCAAACACAACAAACTGACAATTTAGTTTGTAACTCTAATAGTAAATCAGTCTTCACTTCACCATGATCTTTCTGATCCTTTGCTATGTATCTGAGAGCGAGACAATGAATAAGGATGACAAAAGAAGAATTGGTGTCTTTGAACTGTGGTAGAACAAAGGACACAGTCAGAGTGCTCTTTGGAGGCAGGGATGAGACGATGAGGCTTCACCTCATATACTTCGGGCAAGTTTCTAGGAGGGACTATTCCTTGGAGAAGGGTATGATGCTTGGAAGGGTAGAGGGTTGGTGAAGGAGAGAAAGGTCTTCGACCAGATGGAATGACACAGTGACTGCCACCGTGGGCTCTAACATGTCAGGAAGTGTGAGAATGGCACAGGATAGGACAGGGTTGAGATCTGTTGTTCATAGGGTCTCTATGGGTCGTACTTGACTTGAGGGCACCTAATAATGACAACAGCTTGGTCAGAACTTCTAGATCCTTCCTCAGAATAATGTCTTTGATATTGACTGAGGGCCTCTGGGGGAAAGTCTGATCCCAAAAGACCTCCCCTACACAAACCAATCTGTGCTTACCTTTCTCAACAGGATAATCCTCTTTTCAAGAGTGCCACCACGACAGTCATGAATCCCAAGTTTACTAAGGGTTAGAATCACTTGGAGAAGACATGACCATTAGAAACAGCCAGAAGGGACTACCCTCAACCCATGTCTCCAGTATGGCAAGTGACCCACCCCATGGGACACCGCTTAAGGAGTTCGACAATTTCCTCAGCTAACCAACAATTCTCTTTTTCATTCTTTTCCTGCCCTCAAAATTGCAGATATTATCAGGCTTTTATGTGGACTCATCAAAAAATACAGTCTCCTCTTGATGATTTATACAGTCTTTTTTTCTGATACAGACTTGAAGAAGAAATCAATCACTAAGTCTTCTAGGGTTAGATACATATTTTCCAGTTAGGGTAGAAGTCTAATGAAAGCATGCAACCTTATTTATATTTAACACATATAATGTATGAAACTCCATTCCATTCATTATGCTGTTAACAATTATGTATAAAAAAAAAAGGAAATAAAACTTCCATGTGTATCCTAGAAATGGGACTCTGTGAACATTATGTTCCCCCAAGAAGACAGGTGGGCATGGAGTGCTTCCAGCTTTTCCTTGTCCACTCACTGTGGGTTTACACTGGCTCACGGAGAGTCAGGCAGCATAGCAATGTCTTGGCTGTCCTTTCTCCTTCCTCACCCACAGCACACTTGTTCAGGTTCACCTGGCCCTTTTATGAGGTCTAAGTACCAACTCCCATGACAAATACAAAGCAATCACTCTCAGAAATAGGCATCTCTCACCTCATTAGCAGTGTACATCTGTTTTTCAATGTAAGAAGAGGATGATTGGAGGGAGGGTGTCAAGAATGTTGCAGTTGCCCTCAGGACTAATCACTTCCTGGGAAACCAAGGGTAGCCAGGACAAAGGCCAGACCAAATAATAATAAATCATGATAAGGCTGTGGGCCTAATCACAAAAACCCAGACCCAAGTTCATTAACGGCCCCAAGTTACCATCCTCCCTAGCTCTCCTCAAAACCCCTATAAAAAGAAACTGCCCCTAACTGTACACGAGCCATTTTTACTTCCTCCACTCCTGGTCACTTGGCATCCCCTCAACCACGCAATAAAGGCCTGTTTGTTTCCTGGGAGCAGTTTCTTTCTTTCTCCCTCTCACTCTCAACTCTTTTTCTATCTAACAATAATGAAATGCCAATAAGAATAGAGCTTCAGAATATGTCCATATGAGACCGGGAACGCCGCCGCCAGACCTGGGAACGCCGCTAGAGGGACCCGGAAGAGACCCGGGAAGTGCAGCCGGGGGAAC